AGCCGCCGGGCCGCCCCCAGCGTGGCGGCTGGGCTTGGGCTCGGGTCGCGCCCGCGGGCGGTGGGTCCGGAGAGCCGGACGCTCGGGGGGCCGCGGCGTCCCCGGACCGAGGGGCCCGGAAGTCCTTGTCGGAGGGGCTGGAGCGAGTGGGGACAGAGACGTCCAGCTGCCCAGGACCCCGGCGGAGGGTCGAGGGGCAGTCTGGGGTACCCCGGAAGGCGGGGTCTGGGAGCTCGGCTTTGTGGGGAGGAGTTGGGTCAGGCCTGGATTCCGCTTGAGTAAGGGGCGGGCGTGCCCCCCCACCCGGAGGAGACCCTCAGAGGGGGTTCTGCTGGAAAGGAGGGTCCTGCCCTCACCGAGGCAGGCTGAGAGGCCTGGGTTACCAAGCCCCGGGATGGGGGTCGGGGGAGAAACAGGTTCATTTCCCAGGGCCAGGGGACAAGGAAAGAGCTCCCAGGGAAAGTGAGCAGGCCCGGGGCTTCCCAGGATGAGGGGGCGTTAGGAGGACACCTAGATCTTCCTGAAGCGGGAAGGAGAGGGGGCCACCTAGCAAAGAGATTGGTGTACCTACCTTCCTTCCAGGACCAGGCAGAGAGCAGGGTGGTCCTCTGCTTCAGATGGGGAAATCTGTAGTTTTGAGAACTGGGGAGAAGAGGGTTACCCCCTGCTTCTGAAATGACAGAGGAATTGGCCAGGTGTCCTATACCTGAGAGACACGAGAGATGAAGGCAAAAATCTTACCCTCGGGTGTCCGGGACGTTGACCCAGGGATTCTGAGAGAACTGTCATGGTGTCTAGGAGAACCAGGAAGTAAGGGTTTCCTCCATACCTGGAGAATCTTCCTAGTTGCGCCCACCTCTCTTGCCTTGGCTAGGCTTGTGGAACAGTTTCATAAAGTGGTTGGGTTTAGCTCACCTAATTTTTCAGCCAGATGCTAACTTTGCTTTTTCTTCACACTTACTTCATCAAATACATTGGTGAGCTAAATTCTACTGAACTTCATTGGGTTAGTTTGGGCCCTATTTTGGTCCCTTGAACTCTGGTTGAATGACTGAAAAACTTATCCCATTGATTTCTTCAAACACTGTAGTCTCCAATCTTTGTTTTATCCAGAACTTCATTTCCTCTGGAAACTTCCAGAATAGTGGTTCTGTGTAATCACCTTGACTTCCTTACCTCAGATAGCACCCTGGATTGCCTGTTAAATGCATTAACAAAGGATCAAGAAGAGGGGGGTGAATTTAAGGAATTATCCTTTAAATGATAATAAAATTGCAAGTTGGAGATTTCTTTCTTTTGGTTTTTTGAGATAGGGTCTCCCTGTAGACCCAGCTGGCCTAGAAATCACAGAGATGCTTGCCTCCTGAGTGGTGGGATTAAAGGTGTGGGCCACCATGCTGGATCCCCTGGAACTGGAGTTACAGATGGTAGATAGCCTCCATGTGGGTTCTGAGAATCGAACCCAGATCCTCTGCAAGAGCAGTCTGTGCTCTTAACCATTTCTATCTTGGAGATTTCTTTTTTTTTTTTTTTTTTGGTCTTTTTAATTGAAACAGGGTCTCCCTATAGCCCCAGCTGTTCTGGAACTCACTATGTAGACCAGGCTGCCCTTGAACTTGCAGAGATCCACCTGCCTCTGCCTCCCAAGTGCTGGGATCAAATATGTGTGCCGCCACACCTGGCACTTGGAGATTTCTTAAAAACAGACTACACAGTCTAAAACTTAAGAACAGAATGTGAGTAACTGAGTTAAAATTTACAGTGTTTGGTATTTATGCCTTCTTGACTACAGTCATGTGACTTGTGTGTACTTCAGTCATGCATTTTGCTTTGTACTGATAGTGTTCAGTACACACAAAAGTACATTTAGTCCAGAGTAGGTCAAATGCCAATTGTTTGGCTTTCTGAAATTTATTAGTGAGGTTCTCCATGTGTAACCCAAGTTACCCTTGAACTCACTGTGTAGCCTAAGCTGGCCTCTAAACTTGGAATAATCCTAAGTACCTCAACTGGGGATCACAAGCATCCCATCACACCCATTTGAAGGTGGTTTTTTTTTTTTTTGTACTATTGGAGATTGAATTTAGGGCACGTTCGAGGCTCTAGCACAGAGCTTCACCCCCAGCCCTTACTTTTTTGTTTTGAAAGTCTCATTTAACAACTCAGGCTGGCTTCAAATTCTATATGTAGGGGAGGGTGGCCTGTAACTTCTGAACCTCCTTCACCTCCTAAGTACTGGGGTTACAGACCTCCACTACATTCCCGGATTTAAATGCTTTTTGTTTTTTTTTGACACTGGGGCTCACTGTGTATCCCAGACTGGCCTTGAATTTGTGGCAGTACTCCTGCCTCAGATTCCCAAGTGCTAGAATTTTAGGAGTGAGGCCACTGTACCACGCTTTACATGCTTGCTTAAAAAAAAGTCTCACTTGGTAACTGGCTGGCCAGGAACTCCATAGGTCAACCAGACTGACTGTATACTGTATGTGCTCCTGCCTCTGCCTCCCTGGGGCTGGGGATTTATTTGCTGTGTGTGTGTGTGTGTGTGTGTGTGTGTGTGTGAGAGAGAGAGAGAGAGAGAGAGAGAGAGAGAGAGAGAGACACTGTGGTATGTGTGACATAGTGTATTCTTGGAGGTCAGAGGACAACAGGTAGAATGCAGTTTTCTTCAGTATGTGGGACCTGGGGATCAGACTCAGGTTTCAGGGTTGGTGGCAAGCAGGTTTGTCTGCTAAGCTATCCCTCACCAGCTCCTCCCCACCACACACTTTTTTTTTGGTTTTCTTTGTTTTCCAGAGTCTCCCTGTGTAGCCCCAGCTGATCTGGAGCTCACTATGTAGACCAGATGGCCTCAAACTCACAGAGATCCACCTGCTTCTGCCTCCCCCTAGGATGGTGGCCTGTGCCACCATGTTCATGCATACTCCCCTTAGCTCAACTTCGCTATGTAGCTGAGGGTGACCTTGAACTCCTGATCCTTCTGCTTGGAGAATTCTGAGATTTCAAGCATTTGCCACCATGCCTGGCTCTTAGGCTTACTTGAATTTTTTTTAATTATGTGTGTGCATGATGTTGAGGGTTTGGGCACACATGCCATGACATGAATGTGGAGGTCACAGGACAACTTTGTGGAGTTGATTCTCTCCTTCCATTTTTACATGAGGCCCAGAGATCAAACTCCGGTCAAACACCTTTTAAGGGTCTTTTGTCTTTGAAAATAACTACAGAGCAAGTCCATGATAACATACTTCTGTAATACCAGCACTCTGGAGGTTGAGCTAGGAGATTGGGCATTCAAGTCCTGCCTGGGCTTTCTACTGAGACTCTGTCTCAAAACAAAAGAAAAAAAATACCAAATACCAAATAATGGCCTGGTGGCTCTTGCCTGTAATCTCTGCCCTTGGGAGGTTGAAGTGGGTGGATCAGAAGCTCAGGGTCATCCTCTGCTGCATAGTGAGTTTAAGGCCAGTGTGGGCTACTTGGAAATGCTGCCCCCAAAAGTCCAAGCCCAAGGGTGTGGTGTTGCTCCCCTTTAATCCCAGCATTTGGGAGGCAGAGGCAGGCAGATCTTTGTGAGTTTGATGCCAGCCTGGTCTGCATAGACAAACAAACCCAAAACAAAAAAAGACTACAAAACTCTTTTGGTACTGCAGTTGAACCCATAATCTCACAGGTGCTAAGCCTCTAACACTGAGCAGTACTTCCCTTAAAATACTTTTCCTATAAACTGACTACATTTTGATAGAATTTAACATAATGCATGTTTATGTACATTTCCCCTAGAATTACAGAGTAAGACACTGTGTGATTTCACAAGGGATACTTTAAGGCCTCTTCTGAAATTCTCACGGGATCAGCTCCCTGTCCTGTCTCTGGAGTTTGTGTTGCTATAAACAAGGGTGCTTTTCAGTTTACCCACTTTTCAGAGATGATAGTAAATATATTCTGCTATTGGTTTGGGGATGCTCAATAGAGACCAGAAATATTTAAGGTAATGAGAGTTATTTAACCCCAGCTTGGCTTACTAAAGGATGTATGAATTGCCACATTGGAGCAGACCCTCTTCTCTGACTGAAAACATGTGACATGGATTATCTTTTCCAGTTGTCTCAGTAGGTTAGAAGCCAGAACCTTCATCTTGGGTTCCAAAGTATGGAAGGAGTAAAATATAAGTTCCTATTGAGGAAAATGTTAACCAAATACTCATTCAGGATGTCATAGAGGAAACTCTAAGGGGTAGAAGGTTAAAATTAGAAGCATCATTCTCTTTTTTTTGGTCTTTTTGGTCTTTTTGAGATGGGCTGTAGCCCCAGCTGTCCTGGAACTCACTATGTAGACCAGACGGGCCTTGAACTCACAGAGATCTGCCTGCCTCTGTCTCCCAAGTGCTGGGATTAAAGGCGAGTGCCATCATGCCCGGTGAAGCATTCTAATTTTTCTATAACCCATTAATTTACCTAAGCTATTAAATTTTTTTTTTTTTCTAATTTAAGGGGCTGGAGTGATGGCTCAGCAGTTAAGAGCACTGGCTGCTCTTTAGAGGACCTGGGTTTGGTTCCCAGCCCTCACATGGCGGTTAACAACTGGCTATCACTCCAGTTCCAAGGGATCTGATGCTGTCTTCTGTCCTCAGGCATTGTATAACATGGGTACACTTACATACATGCAGGCAATACATTCATACGCATAAAAGATTTTTAAGGCTAGGT